GATTTTGTCCGTAAAAATTGCAGTTGTTTTGGATGATACTCGCTGTAAGTCATCGATGTTCAAATCCATCATCCCCTCGGTAGAGGGTGAGAGAAAAAGAGAGAGATGGTCACGAAGAGTATAGGTAAATCCAGTTTCCGGCGCTGAGTATCACACGAATCGCGTGTATAGTACAACATCATAACGTGATCATAACATACGTGCGGCATGCCTTATATAAGGGGCGGGATAAGGGGTGGTCTGGTTCGAGGGGGTACCGTATATTATAGCGTGTAAACCGGAAAGCACATTAATGTCGAGCGGGCGTCGGCGATTCCAGATGACCGGAAGTCTGGCCCGGCCCGCGGCGGAGGGTTCGCTTTTATAAACGCGCGCGATACACAATAACGCACAAATATATTATATAAATATATATAACGCGTGTATATAATAAAATCGAACGTCATAAATTCGCCGAGATCCACTTCTTTTCCGCAGTTGTTTTATTTATTATTATTTTTTTTTTCGTCACCCTCCGATCGACGGCCCTCATAAACTGTGATAACTGTCATCCGCGAAGAACGCGCGGCAATCGATACACACGCATACACACACACACACAAGCACGCGTTCCGTCCAGTTGAAATCGTGGCGAGGGCCATGCTCTCTCTCTCTCTCTCTCTCTCTGTGTATATAATAATGATAATATGTTGCTCGTGATATTATAGCCGGCTACTACGTATAATAATAATAATAATAGCAGTACGGTCTTTTCGCGGTTGTGGTGGTAGTGGTTTTGGGGAGCAAAAGGACTACACGAAAATATATCGCCGTTCAGCGCACAGCATTTAATAATATATATATATGCTCGCGGTGTAATATACTAATATTATTATTATTGAAAACGTTTTGAAACGCTCCGTAACGGTATGTTATACATACATATATAACGTGATATACGGTTCCCGGAGGACCGGCATGCACCGAGTGTTTTCAACGATCGCGATTTTTTGATATAATAATAATAACATTGTATAAAGGTGTCCGTAAGTCCGAGGGTAAGAAATAGCGATACTACTCGATTTTACGATTAAAAACAACCGATGTTTTCCTATATGTTGTACCACTTTCTAGATGATAGAAGAGCCATAAAATAAATAGCTAAGCGTAAATAATTTGTTATAATTGATTATGTGAGGTAACATTGATGGAAAAAAATAACCAAGGGGGTAGGTACATCAGAATATAATGTCACAAGTGCATAAAACAAAAACTAAAGACCAAATAAATGTGTTTCGTAATGAAAATTCAAAAAAAAGAATGAATAATTGAGACGAGTAAAAATTGCTTATTATCCTATCTAAGAAGTGATAACAATGAATAGAGAGAGTGAGAGAGAATCGAATATTACGATGAAAAATACAAACGTAGTTATGGTATTTTTTTCATACTTTATTTGAAATAATAAACGATCTATAGATATTTTGTAGGTATAATAATCTTAAGTGATTATAAGAAAATTTCCATTATTTTTTTAATAGAGTTTTTTGTCCCAAAAAAACTAATATAAAAAAAAATTATTATTTTCAGCTTCTGTTCAAAATAAAAAAAAATCGTRGCAGTTGCCGAGCACTAGATGAACTACAAATGTTTTTAAAGAAAAATTAAAAAAAAAAAAGAAGAAACTGAACAAGTTTATAAAATAATATGCATACGTGAATATAATATTATAAAATATGTCGTACTGATTAGAATATAATTAGAAGGGGCACACATAAAATATTTATTTTATAATAAAAAGCGGCTCTGGAATCCTTGGCCTCTTCTCCTCTCAATTCCGCAAGCACTATATACTATAGGTTATGGAAACCTCAACAAGTTCTTATCCACTGTTGCGACTGTCATACATAATATCACGAACCAGACTAATTAATAACGCTTACTCTGGTCATGGACTTTTKATTTCCAAACGTCTGTTGTCATCGGTTTGTCGTATAAGGGATGTTTTGTATTTAATAGCCACACGCGAGTTTCCGGACGACGAAAACGAAACGTAAAAAACAAAATGTAAAACAATCGTCCGCCGACGATCGCGTGTTTCGTTCGCGATTTATTAATTACGATACCAGTTTTATGACATCCCCTCTCGAGGTCGGGTACTCTACATTACAGTAAGTAAATTATGATATATTATTTTATTTTCGTAAACCATACGTGTTTATAAATCTTATCTCTACACGTGATAGCGTCGTCATCGGTCGTCGCGGACGACGGCACACCAATATAATAGCACAATATAATCWCAATACGACAGTAATAATATTATTATTATGTAAATAGTCGTTTCGAATAAAACGTTCAAAAAGCAAATGACGTGGCAGAGACTCGGCGTTGCAGGTGCCCCATTAAAAATAAACGCGCATATATGTATAGAAAATATAGGTAACCATACCTACCGCGACCGTGTTGCACCTGCCGTTTGGCACGATACGTTGCGGTTTCGAGCGTAAAAAAATTAAATATACATCATATACATATTATATTGTACCTCATTTTAAGTATCGCTTCGCACATGATATCATATCGTACATAATGTTATATAGACCGACGGCATATTATATAGGTATTATACATTATGGGGAGATGTGTGCGAAGAGATACAAACGCGCAATCATCATCAAAATGAATTATACATATTTTATAATATAAAATACGTTCGAAACWATAAAAAAWAATAATAATAATAAAAAAACGAAAATATTAGAAAGGATAAATCCATTTATGTTATGTACCTATTCGTATAGTAACCGATCGTGCGGTGTGCGCGCGAGGTGCATAATATATARCACGAAAACCGTATACGCATAATCGATTACGCCCCCGCGCGATCCGGTATACCGCTGACCGGGTATATAAATATATAATACCTATATTGTACGGACATATAATAATAATATGCAACGCGGTAATAATAATACGATTATTAGCTGCACTTACCGAGCTGCTCGTTCCCATACGCACACATGACGTAGGTACCCAACAGCTAAACTATATACATAAAATATAATAATAACGATAATATTATTACAACGATCATACACACGCGTAGTACGGTATCGCGGTCAATACTTAGGTATATATGTTTACTGTACCGTTTGACGATGTATCTACAACGTTGGTATCACGTGTCACGACGAACCCTTCAATTACCAACYAGCCTACCCACCTCTATATCGCGCGAGTATCATATTATAATATACCGGATGATTGTTTTATCGTTGAACACACATTATTTCAAAAAGTTTAAGTTTTTGAACAAAATGTTGTTACATGGTTTCTATAGTCTTTAAATACCAACATTTTGACAAATATAATATGTAAGTCGTAGGCATACAGTCAAATCAGGCATTTCACTAAATGCCTAGACATATAGTCAAAGAATTTAATTTTAGGAAAATGCTTGATTTGATTATAATATGCAATACGTATGTGACATATATATATATAAATATAATATATAATGAATGACAATGTACAATTTTAATTTCATATTGCAAAGCACAATTTTATATTTCAAAGTATTCCGATACATAAAAATCGAATTTAGGACGAGCAGTTTATGAATTATAAGTATTTAAAGTTTATACTACAGAGTGGAACACTTTTATCCCACAGAACGTTGATGGTCCACTACTCCACTCGCCTAAATTTTAAATACTCATAACTCATGCTGAATTCGGTTTTTATGTATCGAAATAGTCAGAAAAATATATTCTGCTTTCGAAGATTCAATAAAAAAAAAGTTAAAATTTACAAAATTATTAGAATCGCAAACAGTTAAAAATATAAAAACGTTGTTTCGTAATGACTTGTAACCGTGGAAAAAAATATTTTCAAAAACAATTTATACGTCTTTTTGAATAACGATAATAATTCGATGATAGGTTCGTGAATCACTCGGTATACACGCTCGCGCGGTTATCGGTATACGGTTATAAGACTCGGTCGTCGTCGAATTAGAAGTAGTCGTGTGCRTGGCAATAATTATTATGATAATACTACCGTTTGGGTAAAGGCAGTGGATCCGTTCTTGTGGTCTCCGAGCTTCCCGATTACACGCACCCGGGTGCGCGACAGCCGCTATATGTATAATACACGCGTACGATATTATTATTGTGCACTGCATTATATTACAATATCGTCTATAATAATACGACACACGAACGTCACGAACCGATTATTGTTTTTTTTTTTTCAGTCGTGGGTGATGTTATAGTACCTATTAGTAGATAGGTCATAGAGTAATAACAACAAAATAATAATATTGTAATTACTCTATGAGGTAGGCAGGTAAATAATACTATTATTATCATTATCGATTACTATCTCGGACCGTCGCGTACTTACATATTATATTATTATTATTATTGTTATTATACGCGATTACACCACACGATCACTACACCAGATTTTCCACGATCCGATTATGTTAAAAAGATAACGGCGTCGGTACTAATATTAATAATAATTATAATGATGATGATGATGATGATGCCGATGTGGATGTACGGGTGATTTCCGAGGTAATCGATATTAAGTTTTAAGCTCAGTACAAATGTGGAAATTCTAGTAGTCTGTAGTTAAAAAACATTAAATCTAATGCGGTTTATTTTAATATTATTAATTATTTTAAAACGACCATACAAGAACGTACTACCGAACACCACAAGATTATAGTATTTAAAACATGCAGTACAATTGATTTCGTTCTGATATAGATATGTTATTGCATTATTTCCTGAACTCTTATTTTTCGTGCCGTGATTTTTTTAACATTTAATAATTTTACTCTCTTTTTTGGCGTGATTGCGTTCGGCTAACATAAGGCTGATCAGCTTGTACACCGTGGGATCGTAGCTGGAACATCCCAAGACTGACAGGTTGGTTGCTCGGCACGTGAAAACTGTATGACCCTCGAACGCGAATATCACCATCTCGTAGTCTAAACACCGCCTGAGTTTTACRGCGAATCCAAGTTTTTCAAGTTTCTCTGCGCAGGTAAAAAAATTTWAATTAAATGAAAAATCTTCTATAGAAAATATGTTTTTATTTTGTTTTATCTTTTCACTGTTAAAGTTAACAAATTAATTCATCAAAACAGGTGGCAGAGGTAAAAACGATTTTTAACGACTGCATCAATACATCAAAACAATTTTTTGACATTTTATAGATATATAGATATAAATATCAGGATTTCAGAGTTGAAGTTGAACAAACATAAGTTATTAAGTTTTAAACAAAACAAATTAGGTTACTATGTAATATAATTGATTAATACGATATCTATGATTGGTCCATTGTATTAATAATTAAAATATTTTATTCATGAATATTAATAATATGGTTGCCCGGCGTTATAAATAGGCAATATAGCTGCATCCTGTTCGTGGATAAATGGATAGTTGTTTCTGAAGTAATAAATCTAACCGCGATATATACACCTGTAGGTAGTARSTACTACATTCAATTTCGTTATTTTATTTTATTATTTTTCCAAAAACAAAATATTTGAAAAATATAACTGCTSATTGGCTACCTACCATTATTAAAATATTAAAGGTAATCAGTAATCACCCAATAATCCAATAATATTTTTCTAGTATATAATGAAATTATATTTTTTCAAACGGATAAAATATTATGATATAATAAGTAAATATCAATTATAATTATGATAAAATTAGTTTAATAAAATGTTGAATTTATTAAGATTGAATGACACCACTTAATCGACGATGTGTATTATGAATTAATAATATAATGTTTTTAAATATCAATAAGCAAGRCTTAATAGTTATAGAGTTATAAAATTATGTGATAAAGCTTACTTTATTTTAACTTTTCAACTTAATCAATATTATTTGTTTTTTTGGAAAACTTCACAAAGAACTTAACTTATTGTTTTCTTAAATAAATCCAATTTTCATTTATTAATTAGTTTTAAGTTTGTAAAAAAAAATTAATTAAGTTTTCTAGTGTAATACATAAAAAAAATTAACTAACTTAATTAACCAACAACTAAATTAACTTTTTGATACTAAAAATAATAAGAAGAATAATTGATATATCTGTAGGAACTAGGTACATAATTGTTATTAATAAAACTACAAATCCTAAATTCTTTGCAAAAAGAGGGAGAAAATCACAATGAGAATAATATATAATATCATATACCCACTGCTGTATAATTATTATACCAATCATAAATAAAACAAGAACATTAAAKAATATCGAATTAATTAAAATCAAATCAAAAACATAAGAGTGCACAATACTATAATTGGTTTCTGGAATTATTATTTTTATTTTTGGCGTGAGTTTTGACAGCTATTTTACAATGAGTATATAATATACCTATCACGCGTACCTTTAATATGTTCGACCCTTGTCGTGCGGTGTTTCAGGACTCCGCAGACTTTGGTCGGGCCATACAGGACGTCAATCGTATACACTCGCTCATCKATTTCCATTAAAATCTGGCTACTTAGTTCTCAGCTGAAATTGAAACGGAACAAACAATAAAAACCATTCAGTAAAACGAAATATTGTTAAGGATTAATATTGAATTGTTTRTGAATAAATAGAAACRCGAATTTATGAACACTCTATAGCACAAAATAATAAAATAAATATACTATAATATAGAATTCATATTAGTTAAGACAATTGAAAACGGTCAATTATTTACTTATTCCAACCAAAATGTATCAATTTTTCGTCAATCATTCGGTGTCATTCATTTAAAACACATAGATTTAATAATGTCGTGATAAGATTCTTGAAGCCTGATTTGAGTTAATATTTCTACTCAAGAATGATCATGATACTTTAAAACAAAACAAACTTACTCCTCAACAAAACCTTAAAAACTTTTATATATTTTGAAATGTAAATTAAGTATCCTAATATCCAGTGGCCTGATCGATCGCATGTAGAGACATATTATTAGCGAACTAAATAGTTCTAGATCGAAATTAAATTTTAGAAGAATTTTCGCGTTGTCAATTATTTGGYCCATCGGTAGGATCGAAAAAAAATTCATATTGTAAATGGGCACTGAAAAACGTTTAACGTTCTAACGTGTCGAACGCCGAGGTGATGGCTTACGTTTGCGTGCTAGAGAACTTCACTATTTATTTTCATAATTTAACACTACAATCACACACACGCTATAATGATTATTTGCTACGCACACACTTACAAAATCCGGTTTCATGTACTTTGATAATTTTTTATTTTTTTACTACATAATAATTTTATTCTTTAAAAAACTGTATTATATTTCTAATATCTTTAATGGATATCCGAACCAGAATAATTTACATTTATGAATTTAACCAGTTATTTTGTTATTCGRACGTCTGAAACGTTTTTCTCGAAAATTTATATTGGTGGAGCTTAGTTGTGTATGTGTGTACAGGAAATTCTTATTTGTARTTCTAAAAAAATAAAAACGATTGAGACTTAAGGTCAGTTAATAATTATTTTCAAACAAGTTTTTTTTTTTTAATTGAATAAAAACCTATACAATATTATGGGATACCATAATTAAGTTCAATAGATAATTAAATAAATAACATTTGTGGTAGGTTTGTAGCTTTGCGACCGGATGCTGTCAAGACACAAACGAAAAAAAGACACATATCATATTCGTATTAAAATTATGTATTTYCCGCTTACTTTAATCTCCTACGAMAAATTCTATTGTGGTTAACGTCAACTTTGCAAACCATCAAATATATAATTTCATACTTCCGATTTCGTAGTATACAAATTTTCACACCTAAATTATTTTACGTTCACGCTGATTGGATCGTGCGTGTAACCTGCACCAGTCTACTGCGAAGGTTTTCATGCACTTTTCACACGCTTCCTGCGTTTTGTAATACTTCAAATAATATAATTCTAAAACGAGATTTAATTTTTCAATTATATTTTATCACGCGTAGGTAYCTAAYATTATGTTAACATAATATAATAGGTATTAAAGTTACACGACGTTTTAATCTACGAGTAATTACGTGAGTGTTAAAAACTATAATTATTATAATTTTTTTTTTTTTTTTTAATGATTTTTGAACGAATTCAATAACTTGCTCCATGGAAACTAATTGAGTACCTATATTATACACTTTTTAGGAAACACCGAAACAATAATTTTTTATAATTTTATAATACTTTTATAGCTGAAAACAAATTTAGCAGTCTATAATATCATGGATTTCAGTTTGTAATATTACAATCATGGTCAAGTGCGATATATTTTTTCACATAATTACACAGTTTATCGTCGCTGTTAATACAAATGAATACTAAGCAATTAAATTCCTGAAARAAAAGAAAGAAAATATCATGAGTGTCCCCTGTACCACAATATTGCTATCATTAGTTTTAGTAAATTTTAACTAATTCGTATTAAATGTTTGTATTTTAGTGCACCTGAGAAATGTTTCTCAAGATCYAAGAGTCCGGATTTACACCAATTTCAGTATTACACAACACGCGTAACACAAAACATAATGTGAATTTTACATTTCAAGCGTTATTTTTTAATATAGTAGTCCTAGCTATATCGAATAAATTACAGATAGTATCAAACGACAGATAGGGCACATACGTTTTTTGACAGCATTTGAAATCTGTCGTCGTTTWTTTTTGAATTCTTACTATGTTTTAATTTCAAAGTGACCTATGCATAAAATATATTTTATTATCACCGTTCATCCGTATCCGTTYCGCGTCAGAATTCCGGTCAAACCACCACAAACGGTCCTTGAGAGTGAGATAGGATTACTATAATAGCGATAGGTTAGAGTAGGAAAACATAACGCAGAAGTGCGACTGATAAGATAATCTCACCGAAGAGCTCTTGGACGGTATTTGTACCAATACTATCGTATCATGAAACGTTTTTCCGGCATTAACAGATACGAGTACACATCGATTGAACTTTTCATAAATTGTATTCACAATTTATTGTTCCATAAAATAATATTATATTATAGACGTAAACCTTTTTGTGTCATCAGCTATATATGGACTTTCGTAAACTCTCGTCGTTTTTATTCATCTTTCGATGTATTATAATTTAATATGTTTCAACTTCAAACCCACCTGCAAATATTTTACAATCGCACAGCAGTCCAACCGTATCCGTTACCGCTTCAGAATGCTGGTCGGTCCGACGACGGACTTCGAGTGTGAGAATAATTACATTAGCGACGAGGGAGGGGCATAAGGGCGGCTGATGAAACCGACTACAGCTCTGTTCGTCGTCTCCGTGTGAATTTATCCTCGCAAGCCGCGGACGCTGATGACGTTTACGACTCGAGCACGTGTAATTTATATTATATATATCATACGCACGAGTATATATGTCGAATGCACACGCGTAATACTGTTATGATTGCGCGTTGTATTTTTCGAAAACGGTTTGGATTCGGGGAGAAGAGAAAAAAAAACAAATAAATAAACGAAGGGACCCCCATYGTCGGGCGGCGCGCGCCTCCATATTATATTATTATTATCGTACGTCGTGATGGGGTACGTATATTCTGTCGGGCCAAGCGGTCTTTGTGCCCGTCCGATTTATTGGATCGCMGTCCGATTGTCGTTTTGCGGTCGTACAATGCGGCGACACGACCACGACTGCCCTAACGCGGCGGAGGTCTAAAAATCGTATAGGAATCGCGTATAGAAAATACATGATATAATAYACGTATACCTACCCTGCACTACTCATATATTACGACAACAATAATAATAATAATGCATCGCACGACAATAATATGCGAAACCGCAAATAGATTCGAATATCATATTGTGCCATTATATTAGCCGCGGCAGTCCGCGCGGAAACGCCTCTTTTTGTTTATTTATATTGTTTTTTACGATTTTCATCGCTCCGAGTCCAAAAGACTCACCACTGTCAATCGTTCATGTGTATAATATCTATTCATTGAAACAGACCGTCCGCTGCGACTAAGCCTCGACGAACTAAATATAACATTATATCGTTGACGGGCTTAAGTTTGAAAAAAAAAAAACAATAAAATCATAAAATGATTGTATCACTTTAGAACATAAAATTATGATTGTCTGCCGTGCAGTATAATAGTAACGAGTTAACGTTTCAAATCTTAACAAAGCGAAAATTAAACAAAAGTTTCCATCCATATCGATCTATTATTGCTCTGGGACGTAAAACATATTCTGAATAAGGTCCTTCCTACATATTTTAAGTATTCTACACTACAGATCCTCCTCTGCTGTCGGTTTAAATGGAAAAAAAAAAGTATTCTACACATTATTATAAAGCATAATATTATTATTGTTTAGTTTGTTAAATACAAAAAATGTTCAATATAGAGGGACAACATTCAAAATTCAAAAGTTTGAGAATATGTACTTCAAATATTTATGAGTGTTCATATAATTATATTACGAAGGCATGTAGCAGGTATTCAAATATTTCATTAATTGTGTATACTTGTCCATTTTTATTGTTAGTCATAATATAACTGTATAATTTGTTATTATTGTTTTAATTTCATAATTTTTTACTATTATATAATAATTTATAAATTTTTCT